AAGATCTACTTGGCCGATTGAACTGAAACTTTGTAGGAATGATCGAATCATGGTCCTGACAAAGTGTTGTTATTTTTCGGGTCAATCAGAAATACAATTTGGCTGCCATGGCCGCTATTTTGCTACTAAGTTCTAATAGGCCGATCTCACTTAAAATTGGTCTAGGAATGATCAGCTCATGGTCCTGACAAAGTTAAGTTAACATTATACTATTTTTTACCCAAATTGGTACATATTTCAACAACAAAAATAAATACTATAGACTCAGGTGACCGTTAAGGCCCATGGGCCTCTTGTATTACAATACTGGTAGATCTTCATCTACTTATATTACAATACCGGTAGATCTTCATCTACTGATATTACAATACTAAAATCTTCATATACTTATATTACAATACTAGTAGATCTTCATCTACTGATATTACAATAGTCTGCAGCGTCAATAACAATTGGTTCAATTTTCAGATAAACAGAACACCTGGTTGATTGCAGTTGGACGGCCAGTCAGGAACCGAGTCATACATGAGTTATCGGTGATGGCTTTAGACAAACTGGAGTGGTGCAGTCAGCACAGTATGGATGGCACAGTCTTATTTACAGATCAACGGTATGTATAGCCTTAAATTCTATCAGCTAAACGAATGAGCATCAACACCAAGAATACTGTTACGGTAGACTTTTTATTTTTGACAATGTTGTGGTAGGCTGTCAAATTTATTACTCTTGGATGGAGCTATGCTTGATTATCCTTGTGATATCCACCTCTGATTTCTGTACCAGACAGACCACAGACGAGGACGTTGGATCTCCGTGCCGGATAATTTTGTTGCATTGGTTTGCCAACATTTTCATTCCATTTTCTCATAACCTTATTCTAGTTTAGTTCTAGTCACTATTATTGCACAGAAAGAAAAACGGTATAAATTACATGAACATCTGAACTGTAAGACTAACCCTTCCTCCTTGATCATCAGCAGAATTTTGTATTATTCTAATTGTTGCTTGTCGAGACACACTGTGTTTTTTAGCTCACCTGGTCCGAAGGACCAAGGTGAGCTTATGCCATACCGTGGCGTCTGTCTGTCTGTCGTCCGTCCGTCCGTCCGTCCGTTCGTCGGTCGTCGTCTATGCGTTAACAATTTCTTCAAACGAATTCTTCTTCTTACCCGCTGATTGGAATTTAACTCAATTTGAATGGAAGCATCCCTAGGTGGTGGGGATTCAAAATTATACAAATGGTAGGCTGACACCCAAGGGGGCTTAGGGGCAGTGCCAAAAATATGGTTATTTGGTTATATTGCTTTAAGCAACTTCTTCTCTACATCTAAAAGATGGACATCAACCAATTTTGACTGGAAGCATCCCTAGGTAGTGGGGATTCAAAATTGTACAAAAGGTAGGGTTAACCCCACAGGGGGCTGAGGTGGGGGGCCAAAAGGGAACAATTTAGATATATTGCTATAAACGACTTTTTCTATAGAACTATGCAATGGTTATCAATCTTATTTGGTCAGAAGCATTCATGGGAGGCGGGGATTCAAAATTGTTCAAATGGTGGGGCTGAACCCCAAGGGAGCTTAGGGGCGGCTCCAAAAATATGGTTATTTGGCTATGTTGCTTTAAGCAACTTCTTCTCTACAACTATAAACGATGGACATAAACCATATTTGACTGGAAGCATTCCTAGGTAGTGGGGATTCAAAATTGTACAAATGATTGGACAGACCTCCCAGGGGGCAGATGGGCGGAGCCAAAAGTTTGGCTATATTGCTTTAAATTACTTCTTCTGTAGAACTATGCACTGGATATCAATCATATTTTGTTGGAAGCATTCATGGGAGGCAGGGATTCAAATCTTACAAGTAGTGGGGCTGACCCCCTTGGCTAAAGGGTGGGGCCAAAAATAGTTTATTACTTGGAAATGGTTGAGATCCCCACCCTATAACCATATATACAATTGCTGACTATGAAGAGAAGAATGCACATATGCTTCCAGGATTGCCAGGGGTCTGGCCCCACCCTTGGAGACATAGTCCCTATGTGATAACTTTGAAACGGTTGAGATCACACCCCAAAACTGTATATACAAATGCTGGGCATAAAGAGACAAATGCAGTCATAATATATGAATTGACCCCAAGGTCTGCCCCACCCTTAGAGACTTAACCCCTGGGTCATAACATTGAAACAGTTAAGATCCCCAGCCCAAAACTATATATACAATTGTTGAGCCTATAAAGAGACAAATGCAGTCATGATATTATATAATTGATCCCGGGGTCTGGCCACAACCCTAGGGACACAGTTTCTGAATCCCACCTTGGAAACAGTTGAGATCCCCACTCCATAACCATAAATAAAATTGCTGGGCATGAAAATTCTAATACAGATATGATACAAGGATTTGCCTTGGGGTCTGGCCCATTCCCTTAGATCTCATTCGGAGAATATTTTGCCTTTGCCATGATTACTTTTGATATCCAGGTGAGTGATACAGGCCCTCTGGGCCTCTTGTTTTAAATGTACACCTTGTTTAAATAAATGTTCCAAATTTAAAAAACCCATAAACTATAGATCAGTAAAATCACCCAACAAAATTCTTCAAATAAAGAAACAGATACTGTGATTTATTATTCTAGAGTCCAAGTTCCTTTTTATGGTTTGATTTTAAATGTCAATATTGTATTTTGGTTAAGTACAGTAACATGATGGATGAATGTGATTCTTACATTAAGGCTTTACTGATATTTTCATTTCATATTATAGCTTTTAAAATAAACACAGGTATATAAAACTTTGCTTTGTATCCTAGCAACAACATGACAACAAAACAAACAAAATGTAGTGACACTTTCAAAAATTAATTTGTAGAATGTATACAAGTTTCATATTATTACAGTTGTGGGGCTGCACAAAGCACCAAAAATAGCATGCGTACACCGTGCATACATCGTTCACACACCATCCGCACATCGTCCACACATAGTGTGCACAACTGTGCGATTTAGCAATCGTTCGCCCCGTTGTGCGCTTCTCTCCGCACAACTGTTCGATTTGATATCATTTGTAGATCAAAATTACGGAATGACAAAAATACGTAAGGCTTGTATGCGATAACGTACACTGTGTATATATCTGTAATTTCTCATCACAATAATCAAGGTTTTACAATTTCACAATGCGTGTTACACAGTACTAGTATTACAGCGATCGTTAGGCTGTCAAGAATGGGTTTGGCTCCAAGGTAACAGAACAGGTAAATAACAATTTTATGAGTGTCCAGAGTTTTACCTGACCAGTGCCTGACACACAGAGCTGATATGCGATACCGTTTTACCGTAATGAATATATAGTATTTGTTATTTGCATTCATTTGGCTATAGCTCCCCTTCACCTGGATTTTCACCCATACCCTGACACCACTAGGGACCAATGTTTATTAAGATTCCTTATGTCTAAACATTTACGAGTTATCCGACCGCTTAATGAGAGCCCAGTAGCACTCTATTTCAACCTCCAATCACACTTACTTCGGGACGTAGAATATCAAATCAATGAAATTCTCCCCACTGATACCACACCCTTGAGTCTACCACAAAAGGGAAACGATTGGAGCACTACTGGATACACCAACCACACAACCCGACACCACTAGGGATCACCAACTACACACCCTGACACCACTAGGGATCACCAACTATACACCCTGACACCACTAGGGATTGGAGCACTACTGGATACACCAACCACACAACCCGGCACCACTAGGGATCACCAACTACACACCCTGACACTACTAGGGATCACCAACTACACACCCTGACGCCACTAGGGTTTACCAACCACACCCCCTGACACCACTAGGGATCACCAACTGCACACCCTGACACCACTAGGGATCACCAACTACACACCCTGACGCCACTAGGGTTTACCAACCACACACCCTGACACCACTAGGGATACCAACTACACACCCTGACACCACTAGGGATTACCAACTACACACCCTGACACTACTAGGGATCACCAACTATACACCCTGATACCACTAGGGACCACCAACTATACACCCTGACACCACTAGGGATCACCAACTATACACCCTGACACCACTAGGAACACTAACTACACACCCTGACACTACTAGGGATCACCAACTACACACCCTGACACCACTAGGGATCACCGACTACATACCCTGACACTACTAGGGATCACCAACTACACACCCTGACACTACTAGGGATCACCAACTACACACCCTGACCCCACTAGGGATCACCAACTACATACCCTGACACTACTAGGGATCACCAACTAAACACCCTGATACCACTAGGGACCACCAACTATACACCCTGACACCACTAGGGATTACCAACTTCACACCACACCACTAGGGATCCCCAACTACACACCCTGACACCACTAGGGACCACCAACTGCACACCCTGACCCCACTAGGGATCACCAACTATACACCCTGATACCACTAGGGATCACCAACTACACACCTTGACACCACTAGGGATCACCACCTACACACCCTGACACCACTAGGTACACCAACTACATCCCCTGACACCACTAGGGATCACCAACTCCCCACCTTGACACTACTAGGGATCACCAACTACTCACCCTGACACCACTAGGTACACCAACTACATGCCCTGACACCACTAGGGATCACCAACTCCCCCCCCTGACACCACTGGATACACCAACTATACAACCTGACACCACTAGGGATCACCAACTACATTCCCTGACACCACTAGGGATCACCAACTTCATACTCTGACACCACTAGGGATCACCAACTTCACCCCCTGACACCACTAGAGATCACCAACTACACACCCTGACACCACTACCCTGACACCACTAGGGATCACCAACTTCCCACCTTGACACTACTAGGGATCACCAACTACACACACTGACACTACTAGGGATCACCAACTACACCCCCTGACCCCACAAGGTACACCAACTACATACCCTGACACCACTAGAGATCACCAACTACACCCCCTGACACCACTAGGTACACCAACTACATGCCCTGACACCACTAGGGATCACCAACTACCAACCTTGACACGACTAGGGATCACCAACTACACACCCTGACCCCACTAGGGATCACCAACTACCCCCCCTGACCCCACTAGGGTTCACCAACCACACACCCTGACACCACTAGGGATAACCACCTAGACACCCTGATACTACTAGGGATCACCAACTATACACCCTGATACCACTAGGGACCACCAACTATACACCCTGACACCACTAGGGATCCCCAACTACACCCCCTGACACTCCTAGGGATCACCAACTACACCCCCTGACACCACTAGAGATCACCAACTACGCACCCTGACACCACTAGGGATCACAAACCACACACCCTGACAACACTAGGGATCACCAACTACACACCCTGAAACCACTAGGGATCACCAACTAAACACCCTGACACCACTAGGGATCACCAACCACACACCCTGACACCACTAGGGATTACCAACTTCACACCACACCACTAGGGATCCCCAACTACACACCCTGACACCACTAGGGATTACAAACTACACACCCTGACACCCCTAGGGATCACCAACTACCCACCCTGACAGGATTACCAACTACACACCCTGACACCACTAGAGATTACCAACTACACACCCTGACACCACTAGAGATCACAAACTACACACCCTGACACCACTAGAGATCACCAACTATACCCCCTGACACCACTAGGGATCACCAACTACCCTCCCTGACACCACTGGATTCACCAACTATACACCCTGACACCACTAGGGATTACCAACTACACACCCTAACACCCCTAGGGATCACCAACCACACACCCTGACACCACCAGGGTTCACCAACTACACCCCTGACACCACTAGGGATCACCAACTACATCCCCTGACACCACTAGGGATCACCAACTACATTCCCTGACACCACTAGGGATCACCAACTTCCCACCTTGACACTACTAGGGATCACCAACTACACACCCTGACATCACTAGGGATCACCAACTACCCACCTTGACACCACTAGGGATCACCAACTACACCCCCTGACCCCACTAGGGATCACCAACTACCCCCCCTGACCCCACTAGGGTTCACCAACCACACACCCTGACACCACTAGGGATACCAACAACACACCCTGACACCACTAGGGATTACCAACTTCACACCACACCACTAGGGATCCCCAACTACACACCCTGACACCACTAGGGATTAGGGATCACCAACTACATACCCAGACACCACTAGGGATCACCAACTGCACACCCTGACACCACTACACACCCTGACACCACTAGGGATTAACACCCTGACACCACTAGAGATCACCAACTATACACCCTGACACCACAAGGGATCACCAACTACACACCCTGACACCGCTAGGGATCACCAACTACACACCTTGACACCACTAGGGCTCACCAACTACACACCCTGACACCACTAGAGATTACCAACTACACACCCTGACACCACTAGAGATCACAAACTACACACCCTGACACCACTAGAGATCACCAACTACACCCCCTGACACCACTAGGTACACCAACTACATGCCCTGACACCACTAGGGATCACCAACTACCCACCTTGACACTACTAGGGATCACCAACTACTCACCCTGACACCACTAGGTACACCAACTACATGCCCTGACACCACTAGGGATCACCAACTCCCCACCCTGACACCACTAGGGATCACCAACTTCCCACCTTGACACTACTAGGGATCACCAACTACACACACTGACACTACTAGGGATCACCAACTACACACCCAGACACCACTAGGTACACCAACTACATACCCTGACACCACGAGGGATCACCAACTACACACCCTGACACCACTAGGGATCACAAACCACACACCCTGACAACACTAGGGTTCACCAACTACACACCCTGACACCACTAGGGATTACCAACTACACACCCTGACACCCCTAGGGATCACCAACCACACACCCTGACACCACCAGGGTTCACCAACTACACACCCTGACACCACTAGGGATTACCAACTTCACACCCTGACACTACTAGGGACCAATGTCTAAGGGTAAATGTTGCACCCTCAGTCATTCACCCTGACACTACTAGGGACCAATGTCTAAGGGTAAATGTTGCACCCTCAGTCATTCCTATATAATAGTGATTGTGTTTCAGGATATCCCAGTGCCTGGGGGTCTTTTCAGGAGAGAGTGCTGGGAATTCATGTTACCGTTACATTGTACCAGAAGATATCCAGGCCGTCAGCGTCAGTCATATGAAAAGTGGGTTAACTTCCCAAAGAAAATAACTCAAGATTCCTGTAAATGTTACTGGTTACATGTGAATGTGGCTTGAAAATGTAACTGAAAATGATATTATATTATCAATTTACTGCCTATTTAGCTATAAGTTGCCAGTGAAAGTGATTAATGAATAACATATTACCATTCACAGGTAATTTACAATATCCATAGGCAACTTACCACATTCGCAAATAGAGATTAGGACCAAAATATTAGGCTGAATTTTATATATAGGCTCAGCTTTGTACAGTCATTGATTTTGAATATCAACATTTTTGAATATCCTGTTTATGAAAGCTATATGGTGCTGTGATTTTGAGAAAGTAAAATATGATGGGGGAATGAATTTTCTGTTAACTTGATTGCTTTGTCTGTGCATAGTACAAATGAACACTCAAAAACGGAAAAACATTCAACTCACAAATAAAGTATGTACAATTATTATTCCTCAAGAAACGAAGAATATTCTGTTTATTACTTTTTGCTCTATAAAGTGATTTGTTCTCGTGCACAGATAATCCATATTCCTCCAAGATATTTTTCATATAATTGCCGTCTATGGAAGTGAACAATTGTCACATTGATTGTAGGAGGGGAAGTGAAAGTCATGTGAACAGCATATATGTTTGGTATTACAGTTATGACGGACGATGAGGTACCACAAACCATCTTTAGGTTGAAGATTCCAAATCAGGTTGTGAAATACATAATGTCTCGCTCTGTCGTCGTGCGGGATTCATGGAAGAAAGAGGCCAAATTCATCTCCAGCATCAACATAATCATAGAGTGAGTTTATCATCAGTACATATTGTATGGTCATGTAGCATGATAAATCCGCTTTTACAAAGGAAGTTTTAAGTTGGTTGATTATACTGAAATAACACTATATGTGTAACCTCGGGTTGAAACCATTTTTTCTTTGCATAGGAACTAATGACTTTTTTTGTTTTGTTCATCATTTCCAGAAAGACTGAAGGGGACCAATTACTGGAGGAACAAAAGAAGAAGGTTGATGCCCTAATTGCTGTCACTAATTTATTAAGCCTCCATGAGGACAGCCCCAAGATTACAGCCCAGGGTGAGGACAGGTTGGACAACAGCTGTATTGATCCGGAGCTTGGGAACGATTGTGGTACCTCAGAGAGTCCGAACAGTAGTGACAAAGACTTTGAATCAAATGGATCAACCACCTCTTTGCTATCCACTGATTTGAGCCCTACCGAAAATAGGTCGAGCTCGGGATCTATGAAGTTTGGCACACCTTTACTTAAAAGTCTTTTGGTTGGTGACATCACCACTACGCCTAACACTCTATTGACTTACACTGCTCAGGATAGTAGTGAAACGTCTCCAATCAGCATTTGTTCACATTCAATCAATAGCGGTAATCCTCAGCCCTTCAACACCAGTCCAGAGAATAGAAATGTCACTGATCAAGCCAAAAATGATAGTCAACTGAAGGGGAACAGTCCTCCACCCTGTAGTGGAGGAAGCCTGCATGTCACATGTGATAAAAGGAGTCTACCTTTTAGCAATGGAGCAGATGGTCACCAATCTAACATTGGGGAGATATCGCATGTTTATCATGGGAGTCCAAATATCAACAATGTAGGAAGCAGTGGGGATATTTTAACAAGTAGCTGCATCAATAAAGACTTAATCAGCATGACAGACCACTCGTGTGGTCAGGACACTCCAGCCATGTTCAATTTACAGAGGGTGAGAAACTGGACAGCTTCACTCTCAGAAGTAGAAATGGATATGGCTAGAAATACAGATCTTGGTGATTCCCCTGGCGACTGCTACAGTCTTAGCAATCTGACCCACCTGCATTCGCATTCCGACACAAGTAGTCCCACCATTGGTAGCCATGTTACTACCCCGCCTAATTCGGACCAATCAAGCTTACTATTTAGTCAACCAGGCTCTGTACAATCATATATATCTCCTGGCCAGTCAAGCCCTTTATCTAGCATAAATCTGACATTACAGCCAGTCTTACCATTTCATCAGACTAGCTTGACACTTTTAAGTTCAGCCGATGACAAGGAAAATTTACAGCATTCCAACATTTCCAAAAGCCCACCTTACCCCATACCTTCTAGCTTTACGTGTCACTCAAGCCTACCAGTTAGTCAATCCATTCCTGCTCAATCAGGCTTTTTGTATGGCCAGCCTAATTCATTACAGTTGAACATGCCTTATGGAGCGACTAAGTTAAATTTAACCCACAGTCATGCTGACTCTGGAGAATCAGGTCAGTTATACAATCAGTCTTGCCATGGCCAGGTGCAGCCAACTCTAGCCTTCGCTAAGTCTGGTCTTGAAGAGGAAGTTTTTGACTATAGTGAGCCCTGTTCTGACCAATCATGTTTACCATTACATTGGTCTTGCACCACACATTCCAGAACGATCCCTAGCCAACAAAGTCCCAAATCGCCAAATTTACCATCGTCAAGGCTGCTTCGTCAACAATCATTCAGTGAACAGTCTAACTCTGTAGGAAGTCCTCACTACAATCAGCTTCATTTTGAACAGACTAACCATAATGGTATGAATGTACCTACTGTCCGGAAAAGCTCTTCCGACAATCAGTCAGAAAAAGTGGTTAATCAGTTGTATGAACAGTCCATGAACCAGGAACATTACGCACAGGGTCAATCAGGATCAAGTCGGTATAGATGTGAACAGAAGAACACTGATTATAGCCAACTGTGTGGTACAGAACAGCGAAGTATACCAATCTCTGTACAGGGAAGCACACCATGGAAGCATAATCCCATACAGAGTACAACAGGTATCAGTTCTACACAATTGAACGTAATTTACAATGATAATACCCCTGTGATTGCGGAGAAAGATTTAAACAGCAGCATTTCCCACGAGCAGGCAACAAATTCTGTCTCTGCCACCAAATCCTCGGAAGCTTTCCAATGGAAAAAAGATGCTGCACATTTGGAGCTGGCTGGTCAGCTCCATGCAAAACATAAACAGCTGAGCGAGTCACTTGGATCCCAGGAGTCTGTCTTGGATCAAGTTCAAGGAAACTTATCTCTGCTCATGGACACACAAACTAACAGTGGACATAATGGTACGGGAATACTTCAGAATGTTTTCAATCTGCAGGTAGGGACGAGAGAGGTGGTAAACCGTATTACTGCGATATATTGATAAAAGGAATAGATGAAAGTAACGCTCAAATATGCACAATTATTGCACTTCAGCTAATATCCAACATATTTTAACAGTCAAATAAGATGGCTAGTAATTTTCAATAATACATGAGCATTTTTTGTAATATAAAAACATTTATTTGGATTATGATTTCCAGCGAGCAGAAGATTTCTTTGATGAAATATAAAAGGTTTCGATCTCGGTTTGGTTCAAGTAAACAATGTTTGTATGCTTTAAAGATAATTATGTTCAATTTTTATCTCACCTGGCCCGAAGGGCCAAGTGAGCTTATGGCATGGTGCGGCGTCCGTCGTCCGTCCGTTGTCCGGCGTCCGTCCGGTGTCAACTTTTTACTTTAAACAACTTCTTCTCAGTAACCAAAAGGCCTAGGGTGATGATATTTGGCCAGTAACATGCTTTGATGAAGGGCTACCAAGTTTGTTCAAATAAATGACCTTCATCAATTTTCAAGGTCACAGGGGTCAAATATGTAAAAATCTTTAATCGACTTCTTCTGAATAACCAAGAGGCCTAGGATGATGATATTTGGCCAGTAACATGCTGGGATGATGGGCTACCAAGTTTGTTCAAATAAATGACCTTGACTTATATTCAAGGTCACAGAGGGCAAATATGTTTAAAACATTTAAACAACTTCTTCTGAATAACCAATAGGCCTAGGGTGATGATATTTGGCCAGTAACATGCTTGGATGAAGGGCTACCAAGTTGTTCAAATAAATGACCTTCATCCATTTTCAAGGTCACAGGGGTCAGATATGTTAAAATCTTTATATAACTTCTTCTGAATAACCAAGAGGCATAGGATGATGATATTTGGCCAGTAACATGCTGGGATGAAGGGCTACCAAGTTTGTTCAAATAAATGACCTTGACTTATATTCAAGGTCACAGAGGGCAAATATGTTTAAAACATTTAAACAACTTCTTCTGAATAACCAATAGGCCTAGGGTGATGATATTTGGC